TCTTTTCTGTACTTCTCCATAAGCATCCTCAAGGCAAATATTGCATCTGTGATGTGTACTCTTTCTAGGCATGAAACCATACTGTTGTTCACAAATCTCCACTTCCTGCCTCAACCTGGCTTCAACTACTCTTTTCATTGTATGGCTCATCAGTTTTATCCCTCTTTAGTTGTTACAACTCTGTGCATCACCCTTCTTATAAATTGGCACCACAACACTTTTCCTCCACTCATTAGGCATCTTGTCAGACTCTAAAATTCTATTGAACAACCCAGTCAGGAAATCTACCGCCACTTCTCCTAAGCACTTCCATACTTCCACTGGTATGTCATCGGGACCAACTGACTTTCCACTCTTCATCCTCTTCAGGGCTTTTTAACTTCATCCTTTCTAACCTGATCTACCGTCTTCCTAATAGTCTCTGGTTCCTCATTCCTTCCTCCATTTGTAGGAGTGAATTGTCACTACTAAATTAATTTTTGTAGATAAAGTAACTGAGACAATGGTTTAGTGAATACTCCGATGACTGTCCTTCTCCTCAGTGGCCCAGAGACAGGTTTATCTACTAGTTTTACTCTTAGCTGAAGTTCCAGCAGGTCCTCCCAACTAAGTGCTGTGAAGTAGAAATCTTCATTAAACACAGGGCTGTGGCTTGTCCTAATGGTGGCGCTCTTCTGTAACTGCAACTTCCCTGTTGTCAAGCACAGAGTCACTGCACATTTCAGGGGTTTTTGAGTGTCATTCCAATGGCCCCTCCAAAGACATCAGATGTACTCCGACAGCAGAAATGGATCCTCCCAGACAAGATGGTGTTGGAGGAGAAGGTGGTTTCAGCAGAGAGTCTAACTTTACCTCGGCCCTGCAAAGGAATGACATGCTCTCGAAGCAGTCTCTCCTGGCACTGAAGAACATCTAGTGGGAAGAGTACAGGTGTAGCTAGGGTTAGTAAGCTTCCAAACGAGCTGGGAGGGTTATTTGGAAAGGTGTGTAAACTGACAACCTCTCTCCTCATTACGCCAGTCTCCTCCTGACTGCCAGGTAACACAGGGCAAGATGTGGCTCCTTTAAGACAACCTCTGCTTGATGTGATGTAAACAGAGGACCTAGAGGAATAAGGAGAACCGAGGGGCGATGAGTCGCTAGATGAGGGAGTATCTGATATAGTTTTCCATTACGTCAGCGAATAAAATCCAGCCACCGTTTTCTTGGGTGGGTTTCTCTCCCTTGTCAGATTTTGTGCTGCAGGAGGATTTTTTTGTAAAGTGTGTATGCAGGAAACTTTGGGTGGAACAAAGATTCCTTCCTTCGAGTGTTCGGACTTTCGTATATTCCAGCCAGACCAAAACTCTCTGCAGAGAATGGAGGTCTCTTCATATCCTTACAAACCATTGATACATTGCTATTCCTTACTTTGGCATCCTTTGGCATTACCTGCATGGTGTTAAAGAAAGCACTTTGTACTTGGTTTTTCCTGAGCAGGTGAGAAGAGGGTGTTTCTGCCTCCTGCAAAACATTTCTCCTTGAGAGCCTTGGAGGCAAGCAGAACTCTGGGATCTTGTCAGGGGTGAGGAGGTTGCTGTGCACATTAAGAGACATGCTGGTCTTGGAAGAATTAAAGATATATTCCTCACTTTGTTCCATGGTACGACACAGTTCAGAAGGAATGCTCTCAATACTGTCCTTGATCTTTTCAAAGAGACACATTGTTCTTTGATGTTCTAATAACACTATTAAAGAGAGACAGTAGAATAGGTAAACTTAGCTCAAACAGCAATGAATTGGTTTTACTAAATAAAACATTTGGAAAATGTCCTTGTTGGACCACTCACTGAAAAATTGAATGAATGAATGTAGGGTGTCCTGCCTTATAAAGGCGAGCAACAAGCTCTGCCTTAGTGGTCTGTCACCCCCTTCACCTGCATCAAAAAACAGGTTGCACACACGTAGACACAACAAGAATGCACATCATAGACAGTGTGCAGAATGCACAAACATTGAGTTCATCCATGTGCATTCAGTTGTGCTGTGTGAGTTTGAGGTCTGTGTTTGCAGAAAGTGAACCAAAATTATATCTGCAGTAAGACTTGGCTTTCTTTTAGACTGGAAATGTAAAAACAAAAACAAAAAAAAACAACAAAACTTTAAGAGACTACTGTTAGATTAGCATTTGTTAATTTTACCTGGCAAATACAGCGTACAGTAGATATATAAGTTAAACACTGTATCATATTGTTAAGATATTGTAAATACATTTATTCAATCTTTACAATATATTCATTATATTAAGTTTCCATATCAATTTATACTGTTTTTAAATGCTGTACTCAAAGGAGAAGTACTGAAGAAAGGTGTGCATGCTGATGGTTTACATAACAGGATGGTGTATGGTACGGACAGGTCACAGAACCGACCAGAACCAGTTTCTCTGCCCAAATAATGAGGAAAACAGAACATCAAAAAGGAAAAGAATCCAAAGTCCATTCCTTTGATCTAACCTGAGTTACTGAGCAGAATAGCTCAGCACATGTACATGTTTTCTATTGGTGGAGAATCTTTGCTTGGAGCAGCCTTTGCCAATCAGCGCTCAGAAGTGGCGCGTGAACACCACATGGCTGTAAAGGGTTAAGGTGATGTCCATTGATGTGTGTGTAAAAAAACTGTATTTAAGCTTTGAGAACTGAGGAGTTCCTCAGTGCTGTTCTGAATGTAACCATTGTCCTGCACTCTTGCTTGCAAGTAAAACTTTTAAAACTTGAGATCTCGTATTTGATTCTTTATTTGATCAGATCTTTATTTGATCTTTATTTGAAATCTTTGTGTGTTAGGAAACTGGGGTATGAACTAACAGCATTTTTTACAGTCCTATCTAACAAAGAAAGTTTCCTGACACGTGATTGTCATTTCTGAGATAAAATACTAAGTATAAATGCAATACATCAATATTTGTAACCATTTTGTAACCAACAAACTCAGTGATGGCATACTGTATAAGCTCTCTGTTCTGTTCTCTGTCAAAACAGTCAGAGGAAGTATGGTGTTACCCTGACTTTACAAAGGCCGCTCTGGTTGTGTATTGCACTTGTATTTTGATCATGTCAGTCCAATGTGATGGGGTTGGATCTGACCTCTTGTTCAAAGGTTACTCAAAGGCTCCCACTATCATCCCTGATCACCAGAAAGACCCACTGACCTTAAAACAGCCAGCAGCCCGGACACAAATATTACTCAACATTTAGAGCCCTCTGATCAGTATTTACAGTATTCTAATTCAGGTTAAACTGGGTCATCAACTGACAATTTTTTTAACTTCAACTGACTAACCTATGATCAGCCTCTGACACTTTTAAAATGTGTCGAGATATATTTAAATTTATCTAATCTAAAAAAAAACATAGTTGTCTTGGAATACAACAAAGAGCAGTATTTACAGATTCTTGTGCTGACCAAAGTTAAAAGAAATCAAATAATTAAAAAGAATGTAATAACATGACTACCCTAGAAGATCATTTCTAAAATCTTAAAATTATTTTCTTATATGTTGACCAAAGTTAATCATTTTAATATTTGAAGAAAAAAATGGTCTTGAATAAAAATTCTGCACATTTATAGTGAATCAGTTTTGACTAATTTCATACCCTCGATTTAATGTTTTCTAAAAACCATACTATCGTACAATAGGATGTAATTGCAAATTATTTTCTGCTGAAGAATTCGTGTTCATAGACTGTGTTCGAATCATATTAACCACAAGAGGGCGCCCGTTCAATATAGTAATTGTTGCACAGCGTCCGGCTTACATTATTCGTGGTATGGAAATGGTTATGATTTGTATAAAATCTACTGGGACACACACACACAGAAGTTCAGCGCCTGTCTTGGGTTCATTAACAATGACCCTCTAATTAAACATCATGTAAGTCGGAAACATGAAAGAGAAGGAATGAACACAAAGTTCCTGATTTCATTTAGGACGAGTCAGGGGCTTGTGTAGCACCCAGGGGTCAGGAGGCTTTTTGTGTTAGTGATGAATTACTTTATTACTCCATTAAAAACCTGCAGTGCTCTCAATAATGGAAAGATAAATGTTCATGAGTCAGAGGAAGACTGTCACGTGTGGGCATCGCAGGAAGCAGGCAGGACCCAAATGCAGTACTGGTGAGACTTTTTCTGGTGCAGGTAGTTTTATTTACAGAGTCCAAATTAACAAAACACGAAGAACTAACAGGCATGGAATTCTCTTTGGAACACGAGGAAACACGGAACACGAGGAAACAGAGTAGGAAACTCACGAACACGAAGATCTAACACAATGATCCAAAAACACACAATCACAATGATCAAACAATGAACCAACCCCAACAGAGTGAGGAAGAGGGGTATATATACACAGGGAACACCAGGTGACACAAGTGAAGCCAATTACCAACAGGTGAGTGTGATCCCAAAGATTACCCCACAAGGACAACAGGAAAACATGGAAACAGACAGACATGACAGTACCCCCCCTCCTAATGGACATCCCCTGGACATCCAAAAGCCTACCACCAACCCTCTGGGTTGATTGTGTGGGAGGGATACCAGAACAGATAAACTGAAATAAGGTCTATTCAAAAACATCAGAAAAACTAGGCACAAGGGAAAAAAAAAAAAATCGAAGAGAGAGAAAAAAAAAAAATTCCAGGCCCAAGGACCCCTATACTTGGCCACGGGGGGG